GGATAGGAGGTGACTGGTTGCATCCAAGTTGGTGGATTTGATGATGGTAGCCACCATTTTTCTCTTTCTACACTATTCACTTTTGCAACTTGCATTAAACAATGATTTTTTTTTCATTTCTCAAGCCAATTTCGTGGGAGTTGATGCTAAACATGTTAACAAAAAATTTAAACATCAGAAATTAAGCTTAATCCTTTATTAGAGTTGATTTGGGGAGCTTTGGAGTTGAAATAATCATGTTGAACTAGCTTTGCACAAGTGAGTTTTTGCCAACTTGTGGACCTTGGTTCTCTCTAACAATTAAGATTTATGCAACCCACTTTTACTTTACGGAAAGCCCTCATTAGGTATTACAACATTTATGTTTGATATAGGAACCTAATCCACTTGAAACTAGGTCAAAACCCCTTGTAAAAATGCTGAAAACTTAACTTACAAGTCAAGAAATCTTGAAATTTCTAAGTGTATTTCCCCCTCATGCCTTGTTTTTGCTCATAAATCAAAATCCATGCATTTTATGCTCATGATTATGGATATCAATTTTCAAGAAATTATTGAGACCTTTCCAACAAGCTTTGAACCACTCCATTTGGATGTGTGGTTAAGAAGTTATGATCTGCCCCTTTTCAAAATCCTAATTTCCCGACTTAGCGATTACTTCTCAATTCTTGATCAATTGGTCACCAGACTTCACTATTATATGTTAAATAATGTTAGTAACATATTTGGATTCAATTTTGAGTCAAAAATCTGTTGGTCAAAGGGGTGGCTTTTCAGTCAGACGAACCGAACGATCGAAAAACCCCTAAATCGACTGTTGGTGTTTTGGGTTCCCTGAGGCCTTGAAACTTCTTGTGTAAACTTCTTTGGGTCATATGATCCTCATGGACCATATTCAAGATTTGGAACATGTTTTAGATCAAAAGTCAAACTACAGTTGACTTTTCCAATCAGAAACCCTAATTAGGATTCTGGTACTGCACTGTTCTTCTTTCTTGGGTGAAAACCTCAAGTTGGATTCATTCTTAATCCAATGTGATATCCTTGATGACATGAATATTTGTTATGTGTAGGACCAATCCAAAACTTTGACTAATCAACCCCTTGAAACCCTGATTTTTGACTGTGTGAAACCCTAATTCACCTGTATCTTGACAAAGATCAAACTTGAAATAGGTTATGGTTATATAATATATGTTGATGCTCCTAGAATTATGGTGGAATCTAGGGGTCAAAATTCGGGGTATAACAGTATGAATACATTACCTGTTGATGATTGTTGTTGTTGTTTTCGTTGTTGTTTAGGATACTCTTCATGGTCTTTTGCACCGTTAACATATTTGAGTGTATTTTCACCCGTTTGCTTTATGTTGTCCACCATGGACATCTTGCAGATAGTCAGGAGTAGAGTTTTGTTGTTGTGAGTGAAATATAGCTTCTTGGAGTCATCTTCATTTATTTTATCATTTATCATTATTAATCGGTTAAATGATCTGATTTGTAACATCGGAAATAGGGCATTTTACTATGCTTTGAGTTAATGTTGATTTGTGTGGTTTAAAGTCTAATACTTTAATAGCGAAAACTAATTTTGGAGTTGTTATGATATGATTTTATGCTGCAGGTTGTTAAATGTTTTTGAAAGTTTTTGGATGAATGTCGTAGTGACACCTTAAATTATCAATTAAATCTTTTTATATAAGTTTCAGGGTTTAGGGTGTTACATAGTGGTATGAGAGCATGTCGGTCCAGTCGGCCAAGTTTTTGTAATTTTGTTTGTTCCCTGATATGCAACATGTGTGTGAAATACTATCAGTGCTTGTTTGTTTTCCTAACCACTTTCCAGCAGGAGCGGGATTAAAATAAGCAGGGAGAAGCTTTTACTTCTCTAAGGTGTGGAGGGTTAGTTCAACGTGCCACTGATTTCTTGAGTACAGGTGTTGTTGAGGTTATGTTGTTTCTTGAATCTGAGAAGAATACAGAGTTGAGTTTCTTGACCGTGAGACAGGTAGGGATATCCTTGAGTGAGAGAGAGAGTGTGTGCGCTCAAGTGTTTATGGTGTTTGTGTGTCTGAGAGTAGGAAATAAGAAAATGATTACGGATCTACCCGTTATGTGTGATTTTCCTGAAGTGTTCCTAGATGACATTATGATTTTCCGCCAGAGCGTAAAGTGGAGTTTGCTATAGACTTAGTACCTTGTACGAGTCATGTATCGATGGTGTTGTACAGAATTTCTGCTTCAGAGTTGAGTGAGCTGAAGAAACAATTCAAGGATCTACTTGAGAAGAATTTTGTTCGGCCGAGTGTTTCGTCATGGGGAGCGCCAATGTTGTTAGTTAAGAAGAAGGATGGTAGCATGACGTTGTGTGTTGAATATCGATGAATGAACAATGTTAGTATCAAGAATAAGTATCTCCTTATGAGAATTGATGATTTGATGGATCAGTTGGTTGGTGCTTGCGTATTCAGTAAGATTGATTTGTGGTCGGGTTATCATTAGATTTGTGTGAAGTCAAACAATGTTCCAAAAACTTCTTTCAGAATGAGATATGGTCACTATGAGTATTATGTGATGTCGTTTGGTGTGTCTAATGTGTTAGGTGTGTTTGTGTAATATATAAATAAGACTTTCCATCCGTGTCTAAATCAGTTTGTGGTTGTGTTCATCGTCGATATTTTGATATATTCTAAATATGACAAATAGCATGTGAAGCATCTGAAAGTTGTGTTGTAGACCTTAAAAGAAAAGAAGTTATATCTGAAGTTATCTAAATGTGAGTTTCCTTGGTCATGTGATATCTTGTGGTGGTATCATAGTGGATCCATCAAAGATAGATACAGTGTTTTAGTGGGAGACTCCAAAGTCTGTTACACAGATCATAAGCTTTTTGGGTTTTGTCGGTTGTTATCGGAGATTTATTGAAGGCTTTTCGAAACTAGTATTGCCTTTGATTCAGTTGACTCGAAAAGGCTAAACTTATGTGTGGAGTGTTCAGTTTACTCTTACACTCTCAATAAAAAAATCGTGACATGTCTTCCTCTCTCAACGACCGACGGCAACCACTCTTCTTATTTGTGAAGGAAGACGTGGCATCAATGATTGACTGTGTGACGACTTCTTCCTCTGAACAACTAACAGCATGGCGACTTCTTCCTCTAAACGACCGACAACGCAGTGTTTCTAACTCTCTTCCCTCATCAAGGTTAGAACTTCTATGGATATTTTTATGTTCTAATATATGTGTTTCATGTTCTTTCTCTCTATTCATTCCTTTTATTCCTTCTCTTTATTCTCTTTTGTGTCTTTTCTGTGGATTTTTCTATTATGTGTTATGTGTTATACAATTTTCATTGTGTTCTTTATTCTTTCCCTTTTTTGTGTATATAATTTTTGTTCTCTTTTCAAGCTTGAAATATTTGAAACCGAAGTGTTGAAGGACACGCTGATTTACATATTGAATCTTGTTTTTAGCTTGTTTTGTTACGTAGGTTTAAATATTTGAAATGAAATTGCTGAAGGAAGAAAGATGATATTTGTACTAATTTTGGTTTTCATTTTGTTTTGTTATTAGCTTGTGAATTTTATTAATGAGGATAAATTATGAACTTCTAGTGCAAATGGAGGAGATAACACATCGTTTAATGATGATGGTGATGTTATGGAAAATCAAATAAAGTTTACATCCAACATAACTACAAAAACGAAAAAATAACGGAGGGAGCGTGGGAAAAAGACTAGAATAAATTTTTAAATCATTAGTGTTATAGTATAGAATTAGAAGTATTCTGTTGTAGTGCATAATTTTGTACAGTGTGGGACATTTTGTGGTTTTGCTTTATTTTGTTTATGTGCATAATGTTTTGATTATCTTATAGTTTATTATGTGTTTAATGTGGGAACAATTTGTGGGTATACTGTCAAGAAAACCAATTTATGGTATTTAAATTTATGGTATTTAAATGTATATGTATGTAATGTTGATGTCTGAGCATATATTAATAAAATTTTATACGATATTAACCATCTTTTTACAATACATTAATCAATTTTGTTTTACCAATTTTGTTATGTTTTGATGCTTAGGCCTATAAATTTACAATACTGCAACATTCCATTAGAATAACCTACATCACTAAAATAACTTTTTTGGTTCTCTTTTTTGACCTATTAACAACCATTTCAACGACAAATAATTTTCTTTTAGATCGAGGGTGACCTTTACGCTTGACATGTTTTGGACTGTGAATTCGATTACTATTGTTTGAATTCGATTACTAGTTGTGGTAGAAAGTATGACACCAAAGTTGCACAAAATATGTCAATTAGATGCATAATATAAATTTATAACAAAGTTGGTTAATGGTGTGAAAGTCAATGATTAGTTTTGTGTATAAGTTGGTTAATAAACTTACAAGCAAAATAACATTTTAGTTTGAAGGAAAATATATTCTCCGATTCAGACTAAAACAAGAGATATGAAACTTGTAAAGGCTTGGTTGGGGAAAAGAATCGGGTAAAATGGATGAGAGAATGGCCGGAAGAAAGTGGCCGGAACAAAGAGATGAAGTAAGAAATGAGAGAAATAAGAATGCTGCATAAAAAGCAAAATAAGGTGGTGTCATTAATATTTTAATTTTTTCAGTAGTAATTTAAATTTTTTCAGTATAATGAAAAGTGTATACGATTTAGTGTATGCAAGTGGTGATTGTTCATAAACTTATGAGTAATAATATTTGAACATCTAAATTTTAACACAATATAATACACTTACATCAACTCTTAATTCAATCGACCGTTTCTACATACCTTGTCGATATCTTTTCCCTAAATTTATTATCTACTAAACTTGTTCATGTATAAAGTGGCTTTAAGACAAACATACTCTTTCAAACCCAAGAAGCCTGAGGCTTAAATGGATTATCTAATACAAAATTTATTTATTAATTGAAGGGTGGTTATACACAGCATTCGTTTGGCAAGTAAGCAGAGTAGAGAAATCAATTCTTGTGTTGCATCCTCCCACTCTCAGAACCGGCATAAGGATCAATGACAACATTTATGACAGTTGGTTTCCTAGCAGAGAATGATTCTGAGAGAGCTGACTTTAGTTCATCAGGTGTCCTAACAAGATAACCCTTTCCACCAAAAGCTTCCATCATAGTGTGGTACCCTGCATTTGGAACAAATGATGTCGGAGCAGGATCCCCTTTGTGAGGTCCATCTATCTCTTCTGGGCTTCTACGATCACCACCATATACACCACCATTGTTGAAAACAACCACCACCACAGCTAGTTGGTATCGAACCAATGTCTGGATAAAGATAGAGCGTCAAATTATATGTTTGTATTCAGAAAATGATTTGCAAGAGTAAAGCATATGCAGAAAAGTGAGACCACAACATAGCATATAGCAAGAACCAAAAATTTATAAGCTTAAACTTGAGTGGTTTATACAAAATTGAAATTCAGTTTTTAAACAAAAAGTGCATTTGGATCATGGTTCAAATTTACAAGCAAAATAACATTTTAGTTTGAAGGAAAATATATTCTCTGATTCAGACTAGAACAAGAGATATGAAACTTGTAAAGGCTTGGTTGGGGAAAAGGTAAACACCTAATTCCAGAATAACAAACTTGTTAACAAGTTTTCATAAGGTAAAAATCCAGATATCTCATATATGTGTGTCTTATGTTGCCCACTCAGTTACAACATATAAGTTGAGCACTATAATTCTTCACCGTTCATTCCAATGTGTGCCAAACAACTTGCCAATTTCAAGGACATAAAACATTTACATTTACCAGCTAAAAATCTAAGCAGAAACTCTCAACATCAGTGATTGATTTAAAATGGAACTTGAACAAGGTTCTTACAACAACATTGAAATTGAAAAAGGTTTTTGAGCAAAAAGTCCACAGTCGGTTCATGGCAAAAACTTACAAGCAAACGAACATTTTAGTTTGAGGAAAAATATAATCATATAATCTCAGTTCAGGCTAGAACAATAGTTTGGGTTGGGATGTTGTAAGAGTATTAAGAAGGAAGTACATGGTTCGATCCTTACTAAGTTAATACTAATAAAGTCCCCCTCCCCCTAACAAATTAAACACTAGTATTTGTCTATAAAATTAAGTCTCAAGGAAAAAATGAAGTCCTAAAATAAAATAACAAGGCTAAACTCCAAAATAATAAACTTGTTAAGTTTTGATAAGGTAAAGTCCACAAATCATATAATGTGTATCTTATCTAACTTGCTCATTTGCAGCATGGAAGTTGGGCACTAAGATTCATCACTGTTCAGTCTGAATGTCCAATGTGTGCCAAACAACTTTTTTCCAATTTCAAAGACAAGAAAGCATTATTAGTCACCACTACTAACTAACAAATCTCTTTACTATCAGGAAAACCAGCTAAAATCTAAGCAAAAACACTCACAACATTGGTAATTGATTTAAAATGGAACTAGGGGTTTTGCAGCATTGTACCATGGCTTATGTCTGTCAAGTATCACCAGATAAACACGTTTATCTAATAGAGAACATCACACACAAACATGATTCTAAAACAATAGTAATGTAAAACAATGGAATATCTAATAGAGATCACAAAATATATACCTCAACTTCCATGGCACTGAACCCATATCCAGAATCTCCTTCAACGGCAACAACGAGGCGATCAGGATAAGCAACAGCGGCAGCAATGCAATAACCAAGACCAACTCCCATAGTTCCCCAAGTGCCAGCATCCAACCTAGTCCTTGGCTCCTTCTGAACCAATACAGCTCGACCGACATCCATGGTATTAGCACCCTCAGAAACCACCACAGGAGCAGGACTTCCACCCCATTCCGAGATAGCATTTCTTATAATCCTCATAGGCGTAAGAAAATTAAACGGCACAACGTCCTTCGCCAACTGAGCCTCCATCTTAGAAGTATTCTCCTTTGTTTTTTTTGAAATAGCATCCACCCATGGATGAGTGTTCCCCAAGCAAAACGGATCATCCTTAATCTCTTTGTTTAGAGCCTCCAAAACTTGTTTAGCATCTCCAACTAAACCTAAAAACGGTTTCCTTAGCTCAATTTCTTCGCTACTCACATCCACCAATACAAACTTCACACCCTCCGCCCACTTTGGAGATTCCCCAAAATGAAGAAGCCAATTCAGCCTCGCCCCGATAACAACTGCCACGTCACATTTCCCAATGGCGAGTGACCTAGCAGCGGAGGCAGCCAAGCGATGATCATCCGGCAACAAACCTTTCCCCATGGGAGTTGGAAGAAACGGAATTCCGGTAGTTTCCACCAGTTTCTTCAATTGATCTTCTGCTTTTGAATAGGCTGCTCCTTTCCCAAACACAATCAAAGGCCTCTCGGCATTTCTCAGAAGCGAAACAACTTGATTTATCTTCGAAGCATCAACTTTTGTACTACGATTCTCCTTGTTTTTCTCTGCTAGCGCTTTCGCTTCGGTCAAGAGCGATTCAGCTTCGGATTGAGAAACCGTCTGATGCAATACGTCGGTAGGAAGATCCAAATAGCAACCACCGGGTCGACCCGAAACAGCGTGATCGAGAACCTGTGCGACACAATTAGGGATTTGAGAGATGTGCGTCGCTTTGACAGCGAACTTGGTAAAAGGCTTAACCGCTTCAATCTGATCAAGCTCTTGAAAATCGCCACGTCCGCAGTCGCTTTGATTACAAGAGCCAGAGATCATGACGGTAGGCCAGGTATTGATTCCAGCGTTAGAGAGACCGGCGAGACCGTGGACGCAACCGGGACCGGAGACGGTAAGGAATACGCCGGGACTGGAGGTTAGGTAACCGTAAGCAGATGCGGCGTAACCGGCGGATTGTTCGTTGTGGAAGGCAATGAAGCGGATGCCGAGGGAAACGGCACGTGTGGCGAGTGAGGTGACCGGGATTCCAACGACGCCGAACATGTGGTGGACGCCGAATTGGGCGAGAGACTTTGCGGCGAGGACATTGCCGTCAATTTGTTTTTGTTCCCCCATTGAATAGAATGAAATCTGAGTTAGTTTTTGTGATTTCAGAAATACGAGGCGTGAATAAAATATAAAATCTGTAAATTAAGACTATAATTAGTAAGTTCCAAAAAATGAACGGAGTATTTAATTCGAAGATGTGAGTGAGTGTGAGAAATAAGAAGAGGTATTTATATTGAAGAAATGAAAGAAGAAATAGAAGACAAAGCAAATTTGGACTCTGCATGCTTATACTTTGTAGTAATCAAATTCCAATGTGTCTTCTCCTAATAGGACCTCAGAACCTCCACCAGGTAAGATCAACAATCTAATTCACCAACTGCCAACCGTTGCACTTCCCTTCTTCCTAGCAAAACGTTTATGTGGACATTATTTTTCAATAAATCATCAAATTATCAAATTAGTCTCTCAACCGTGATCACTTATCCTATTTAATCCCTTTAATTATATGATAAAAAATTTAAATTCTTAGTTTTTTAAATTATTTAATACAGTATGATTTTATTTTCGTTATATTGTACAATTTCATTGATGTAGTATTATGTAAGCTATATGTATCGTACTCGGGACCGCATTTGAGCCAGTCTGGCCTACTGCACGACTCCAAGAAATTCTAAGACCTTAAACTTTTATTTTATACTATGTGACTAGATTCCACCCAATTAATTAATAATTCTTAAAAAAGAACAGTTCAGTTCAGTATCTTGGTCCAGAATCTAATAAAACAAGCTTTGCAGTAGTTTGATATATATATATATATATGTAAGGAGTGTTTTAGTAAGAGACATTTAACCATTTTTTAGAATTGAAAATTATTTTTTAAATGTATTATCAGATGCATCTTAATGTTATATGTATACACAAGTCACACCCTTAATATTTGCCATTTTAAAAGAAAAAAAATATCAATGTGTTTTTATTAAATGAGGTGTATTGAAAGAACAAAGTATGTCGGTGTGTAATGAAAGGATCAAAATTTCCTAGGTTTTTCAAACAAGTCATTGTCAAAGCAAGGTGAAGAATCAAAATCAATATAGAAAGTGAAAGTGACTACATATTTTTGGAAGTTTATCTTTTTAATCAAATTCATATCCAAATTAAATTATGGAAAAGATAAGGTGAATTTCACTTGAAAGTGCATTTCTAAAAATTCTAAAAGCATTTTTGGAATTTCTTAGATCAATTAGGCTGGAATTAGTAATTCCGATATATAATATTTGTTGTTAGGTTAAGCACCGTTCAGCACGTCATTAATCGTTATAATGTACTACACGGCATTTGTCATTGGTCATTATGATGTACACGGCATTCGTCATTGTACAAATGTAAGGCATATATTAAAGCTACGTTTGCCAAATTACGTTTTGCAATCCTTTTAGATTTTTGTTAGTTATACAGATTTAATTATTAAAAGTAGTGTTTCTTTTAGTATCACTAAGGTTCAGTGTTCCTCTGTTTTTTTAATACTTACAGATAAAAATAATGTCAGAAAATTTAAATTATAGAAAAAAAATTTATATATATATATATATATATATATATATATATATATATATATATATATATATATATATATATATATATATATATATATATATATATATATATATATATATATATATATATATATATATATATATATATATATATATATATATATATATATAAATTATTCTTTTTAATTTGTATATTTTAAAAATAATTAATATTGTCTTTTAACTTTAAATATCAATAAACGCAATAGTACTAATTGCAAACATCATTCTAGTGTCTATATTTTGGTGCCTCTTTTATTAGTAATTCTATGAACTTGATTGATAAAAATACATTTAATAATTTAATAGACTATCTTAAAATAGATTTAAAGACCAAAATAATTAATAATAAAAAATTTGTCGTTATGTTTATAAGTTCGATTCAACTAATAACTTAACGACAATGCATTAGTATACATTTACAATTAAAATGATTATTCTTATTTTATTTTTGTGCAATTTAATTAATTAATTGAATTTTCTTTTTGTTAGTGATTTTTTGGAAATTTTATCCCATATCCCTGTATTTATATCCGTGTCCTTACATTAAAAACTATTGGAGCAAAATACCTTTGTATAAATAGTTATAATTTTAGAAATTTTACACTTTCATTTCATTTGCACTTCAACACTTCCGAAACACCTTTTTTTCACATACAAACCGGAAGTCTTCCAACAAGTTATCCGGAACTACATTTTTCACCTACATATACCGAAACTCCAATAGTAAGTCTTCTGGTTTGTTGTATTTTTTCGTTTGTTCACCGGAAGACTTTGTGTATGTCTTCCGGTTCATATATTTTTTCGTTTGTTCACCGGAAGTCTTTGATCAAGTCTTCCGTTACATGGCTTTTTACGTTTGTTCACCGGAAGTCTTTGATCAAGTCTTCCGATTCATGTTTTTTTTTTAATTTTTAATTTTATTTATTTATTAATTTATTTGGCAGTGGTGCACACACGAGGCAGAGATGGTAGGATCCCTTCTCGCGGGCTAGGACGGGGCGAGTCATCGAGAATGGCTGAAGAAGAGCATTTTGATGCATCTGCATCAGCATCCGAGTCTGTTGGATATCCAGGAGGACCATACGATACCTATGTTTTAGTTAAGTACGAACATCATGTTGCTAGACGCATATGGATCGGTGAGGTAAGTAAATGAAAATTATTTAATATTGAATAAAATTCGAATTTTTAATGTTAAATTTTATAATATATTTACTTTTAATTGTTTTCAAGAGAGAGGGTCGAAGAAAGAGTTAAAGGTAGCGGGACATGGATTGAAGTTGATTCGGAGGGTTCCACTACAGCTACCCAGAGAGATGGAGGGTTGGATATCTAGGTCTGGTCTAGCTTCACTCCAGAGAATCAGTTTAACAAAGATAGACGCGAACCTGGTTTCCGCATTTGCAGAGAGATGGCATCTAGAGACATCTTCATTTCACATGTCGTTTGGTGAGATGACGATTACTCTAGATGACGTATCTTGCCTGCTTCACTTGCCCATCAGGGGAGTCTTTTGGAGCCCTTAAGATATCAGTGAAGCACTTGTTGTTGAGTGGGCTGTTGATTATTTAGGAGTGTCACGGAGAGTAGCACAGCAACAAGTCTGTGACTGCAAGGGTTCCTACTATAAGTTGGAGTGGTTATATGATCGATTCGTAGAGCATAGAGCTGCATCTAGATGGGATTATGCTTATATATCTGCGTGATCCGAGTGACATTATCTGGATCTTGCTCTTGCAATGAAAGCAATATATGTCTAGGTGGAACCTTTCTCTTTCTCAAATCAACAACATGTTGCTTCTGATCCGCTGTCAACCTACCAACAAATGTGTGACCTTCTAATCTATTAGGTAAATCATGGTTATGAACTCCATATTTTACAACAATCTTCCATCCAGATCCATCAGTCGCTGGAATTGATCTGATTCTAAATGGACATTGTTGATGCGGAATAGCAGCAAGCAAAAAATATTAAGTACCCAGTTTTGTCGTCTCCACAGGGATTAGTGTGATATGAATGTCGTTCAACGGCCTCTACATTTCTAAGCTTATTGTTCAAAAGTTTTGGTTTAAAAGGTTCAGGGAACCATAAATAAAAACAAAAATTATAAAATAAGGACTGAAATATAAACGGAGCCTTGTTGGGATCGGATTTCATCAATTGATAACATATGCATTCTTCTGATCAAATTAAACATAATACAATCATTCGTCTAATACCCTTGCGTATCACTCTCGACAAAGCTTATCTCTAATGCAGTGTCGAGAGAACAACCATGTTGTCTCATTAGTGATCTCTCATCCAACAAAAACACAACACAGAGCATTAAGAATTGATACCCACACAAATGTTAAGCCTAAACCTATCTCTAGAATTTAGGACCTAACAGGTAATCATCTTAGATTCAGATCTGAAGAGTATATCTCTATCACAGTTCAGATCAAAGATAAACAGGTAAGCAAAGATGACACCTATATTGGATAAACGATTGTTTCATATAAAATACAATGATCAGAATACGTACACACGCTTAACCCTTTTTACATGTATTCATCTAATCCGCCAAATGGTTATGAACATCATTCTTCATCACTATTATCACATACCCACACAATATCATATTGATCCTACAAATGCTACTTAATCAACACAACACCATAGAAGATACAATGAATATCAACTTCAAAACCATGTCAAAAGTTTGTTCATTGATAAAAGAAAGTCTGAGATCAAAGATGTGAAAAGGTTTTATCAAGACCCACAAATACATAATCAAAGATAATCAATTAATAGAGGATCTAAACTAGTTCACAAACATAAATTAGATGAAATACATAAGGTATCAAAAGATTACAATCCAAACCCCAACAAGAGAGCAAAGATCTTACCTCCTCCCTCTTAGGGTTTTTGTGTTTCTCTCTCTAAAAAATGAAGAGAAATAAGTTCTGATGTTTCTAAATGTTACAAAATGAAATTATGACCTAAAAAAGCAAGAAAACACTTAAATACACATTCAGGATCTGTCTTGTTCGCTACCAGCTCGCCTAGCGAGCATGACAGCATTTTGTTCGCTAGCCTGCTCGCCTAGCGAGCAAGAATGGTTTTCTTCGCTGGCACGTTCGTTATCTTCTCGCCTAGCGAGCGTGACAGCATTTTGGTGCTTTGCATGTTGTCTTGGTTTCCTTGCCCATTTCTTGTGTCTTACTCTTCACTTGTTTTGTGCCTAATTCCTGCACAATAACACACAAATCAAAGGTACCAAAAGATTTTCTCATAATATTGCAAACCAACCAAAATAAGGGTGGTTTTCAACACTTAATTGACGAAAATGAGTGAAAGATGCCAACATTTGATAGATCAAATAAGTGAAATTTGGCGTCTAACAACTTGCCCCAACTAGCTTTTTGCTTGTCTTCAGGCAAAGTATGCCTCTCATTTTGCAATAAGAGGATTTGCTCAAGACTAAGATT